GGTCCTCCAGTTTCCAGTTCTTGGTTTTCCTTACTAATCTCACCATTCACCTGGGAGTAGGTGATGATTCTGCCCAGGAGAACTGTTCCATCTAAGACCCTAGCACTCCGAGAGCCCCTCACTTCTTTTTGTGATTTTTCAAAACTTTACCTTCCCTCCTTCTCTCCCTCATGTACCCCCCCCCCTTTTTGATACAGTATCTCAAGTAGTCTAGACTATTCTCAGACTTGCTACATAGTCAAACCTGGTGTTGAATTGCTGAACCTCCTGCCTCCATCTTCCAAGTAATGGGATTACAGGAGTATGCCACCAGGCCAGGAGGGAGGGAAGGAGGGGGGGAGGAGAGAGTGAAGGAGAGAGGGAGAGGGACAGGGAGGGGGGAGAGAGAGAAAGAAAGAGAAAGAGAGACTATTCTCCTGCTCTTGAAACTGTTACTGTCGTTCTTTTACCTCTTAGTCCCAATTGACCTTCCCAGCCCTATATCTACTTCCCTCAAAGGTCTAGGAGCAGCTATTAAGTCCCCAGAGTCCAGAAACTCTGCCGTCTGGGAAGATGGTAAGAAGCCCTAAGGTCGAAGGAGATGTGTCAACAGAAACTACTGTGTGAACAGGGTTTCCACCTCTAACAACCTCAATCCCTAGAGTCAGAACTTGGCCTAAATCACACAGTTGGAGCTGAAGGGATGTCTGGAGTCAGACCATTTTTCCCACCAACCTTCTTTTGTAGACCACCTGGCTTCACATATATACAATTGTCTCTTGTCATTCCTGTCGTGCCCAAACCTGTCTGCTCCTCTTCCATACCGAAGCTTTCCCTCTCTGATCTACTGAAAACCTAACTTTCCTCTGTTTTCCTGACCTTCTGCTCCTACTGACTTTAGCCCATTATTCTCTTGTACATGATACTGTTTTGTGCTTCTGCCCCTTACACTCTATATTCACCAACATCCATGATGTCAGGCATCTAACAACTGGATGCATGATTCACCTCCCTCTTCTCCTAACTACCATGGACACAGGCACACCCCAACACCCTCTTCTCCTTCCCTAGTTCCTTCCCAGTGGCCATATAGGTGACTGCTCCCCAGGATGCAACCCCAGACAGCTCTATACTCCCTGCATGAACACTTCCTTTCTTGAAGCTTCCACACACCCATGACCACTGGACTCCAGGCAGGCAATTCAGAGACCTGCAGGCAACTAGGAACATGTTTCTGATAAGCCACAAGAAAAACACTTTATGGTCATATATCATTTTTATCAGTCATGAAAAATTCTCAGAGCCAGAAGTACCCCTGAGGTCTTATTTAATATGCCTATGCTTTTGTGGATGTGAACATGGTCACAATAGAGACTCAAAAACTGTATTTGGCCTGCCAATCCCCATAATGTGACTGGTATCTGTCTGTGCCTTCTAACTTATGGGATATGCACCAACTTTGGGTGATTAGTGCCAGCACTGTGGTATGCCCAGTTTTATTTATTTATTTATTTATTTTTACCAGAATAGAGTGCCTGGGCACCACTCAATCAGGAATTGTGCATGCTATTAATTGAGCAGTGCCCTCCTGTGACCTCCTAGAGCCAATGCTGAGGTACCCACGAACATGAAGAATGCACTTAAGCATCTCAGCATGCAGTTCTGAATTTAAGCAAATCTATACCTCTGGCTAGGCTTTAGGTTAACTTCAGCTTAGTTCTTTAAGCAATGGTTTTTACTGACACTTCCTTGGAAGTGACCAAAATGAGCCTGTCACTTGAAAGTAATTCTCTGCCCACAGAAGCAGGGCTATGTATGGATTGCTTCTCTTTAAGTCAGTTGTCAGATGCCTGAGCTATTCTGGGAATTGAAGGCCAGGACAGAGCCCTGTAGAAATACTTCGGGGTTTCCCCTTGGCTTGGCAGAGCAGTATAGGCCTGAAGACAGAGCTGGCTATACTGTCTTCTCTCCATCTCATGGGGGTGTTCATTTAAGTAATGATGATTGGAAAGTTTAAAAATATTCCTTCATGAATGGAGATCTTTTTTAAAGGTTAAAAACTCATTCAATTTTATGTCTTGTGGCGCACGCCTGTAGTCCCAGCACTTGGGAGGCAGAGACAGGCAGATCTCTGAAATTTACAGCCACTTTTGAAAGAGATGTATCTTTGCTCTGGAAACTGTTATTGAATATGTTAAAGCTGTAATGAAATGCTTCTTCTAATCGTGTGGTTATTAAATAAAAAAAATAGTAAATAAAATATTAAAAAATATTCCTTCATGGAACAAAGCCAATCTTTACTTCTGTCATTAACACTGGATATTTTCGGAGCAGAGTCTCAGGTTTTCTGAGAATGAATTTTCAGCATCAGGAAAGTCCAACATGGCAATAAAAAGAAAGCCTAAGAACTCTGAATGGCATGAAGCATCACAATTTAACATCTGATATTCAAATGAACTTCAGTGATGGCTATGCCATGGCATCAAAGAAATCTAAACAAGTTGGGCTCTGAGGATTGCAAATGCTCAGTCCCTCAGAGCAAGACAGTGTGGAACTGTTACATGCTGTCACCTGAGCATGAGATTTTCTTAATCAGCTTCGCAAATGCAAGAGAGACTCAAACTCCTATATGGTCCTCGTGTTCAATCACAGGGCCTCTTGAATACAAAACTCTGCGTGCTGTTGAGAACATGGGGGAATACGGCCTCCAGCTTCCTTCTTTCCAAATTTTTGTTCATTCATACTGTCTGTCTCTCTTCTCTCCTTCTCCTCTCCCTATGATAGCATTTGGACCTGATCTCAAAAGGTCTGTTCCCTCTTCCTATGGAGAATACACATAGAGTATATGGACTTTAAACCAAGCTGAACATTTTCCAATTTCAAAATTGGACAAACTCTTTCATAACTATTTTCTTATCAACCAAATCATTCACATATCTAGGCTTCAAAAAATATCGGTAATTTACTGAAAACTAAGATGCAAAGCAAATTCATATGGGGAATGAAGAAAATTTGGTAAAATTTTTGTTAAAGATGACATTTTAATCCTAATCTAAAGTAATAGTACTAAGAAAACAACAAATCCATACTTCATTATAATACATATGCTTTCTTGTGATTTGAAGATATATTGAAATGTGCAGAAAAATCCAAACAGTGTCATGGAGAAAAATTTCCCATAGAATTTTAGCTATGAAAAAGCCTGAAAGTCTTACCACAGGAATCCCTGGTGCACAAACCCATGTGTCTTTCTTGAATTTTATAAATATTTATCTAGAAACAAATGGAAGGAAGCAATGCAAATATTCAACAAATTCACTGGATACTTAATCTTCTACCTCATGTTCTCGCTAGGCTCCAGGAAGAGTTATCTAATTGACTCTCACCTTGACATTACCCATGCCAGGTAATGCTCAGAAGTTCTGTGTATACAGAGACCTCTCTGGGGATTGTGTGCTGTAACAGGACTCCAGAGAAGATCAGGACCAAAGGCCTGTGAGCTGATTACTCTAGTAGTCATGAGTCCTCACTGCTAAGTCCAGGGATCTGTCTTTCTTTGCTTACCAAGGTGGTAAACTGGGAAAAGGAAGGAAACGGTCCTGTCATGCAACTGCTTCACTTACCACAGGATGACACTGAGTCCCAGAGAAGTGAAAGGACTTGCCCAATATTCTTCCAATCCCTGCCATAGTGTATACCACAGTCAAGGAAGACATTCGCGTTTTCAAACATGCATTACAGTCAGCTTTCTACTTCTCAGAGTTATGGAACAAGACAGGATTAGAAAAGGCTTTTTTTTCCCCCCAAGAATCTTCAGAATTTACCAAGCATGGCTCACCTGCCTTTCCAACTGCTTCAGGTAAATGCTTCTGAGAGGTGTCAGCTAGCTCTGGGGCTTTAAGAACGGAAAACCAAGGACATGGAGAAAGGCATAGTGAGGGGGTCTGGATCACGGGGCGGGGAAGGATCTAGACTTCCCAAAGGGTCAGAGATCACATACAGCCCTACGTTTGTGCTCTTTTGTAACATGTAAACTGTTGATCAAAAATAGTTTACCTTTTCCCCTGATGCACTGTGACAGACCCACCATGCAGCCATCTGTCAGCTTTGTCCCCAACTTCTTCTAGTAGTCTTTTCAATCTTACTCCCTCAAAAGCTGTAGCATCAGAATAAAGCCAGTGAGTCCCTTTCAGAGCACAGCCTTCACACCACAAGAGATTGTGACTGTGGTAGGGAAATACACACAAAAGGCTGGGTGAGCCCAGGCTGACAGACAGCGCTGGTGATGGATGTGACCAATTCTGAAGCCTTTCTGCCTTCATCTTGTAGGTTATAGATGTCAGTGATTTTCTTCCCTCCGAGCCTCATGTTTCAAACTCTATCCTTCCACAGCAATCAAGAGCATCATTTTGTATAACCCACTGAAAATGAGTTCCTTCACAATAAAGCAGCATTTGGAAATTTGTGGCCTTCCATGGGTCTAATTCAGTCAGTTGGCTAGAGACTGAAAACATCAAAGCATAGTTCTATACAAAGTTAATGTGTGGAAAACCAGCAATCCAATTTTGTATCGCAGTTATTGAATATATCAATAAACCACTAAATTTGTTGATAGACATTAGAATGACTTGTCAACTTTAATTCATTACTAAGTTCAAAAATAAACATAATATATTTTAATGTATCATCAGTCTTCCAGACAGGGGCATCAGAAGCTTCTAGCTAACAAATTGAAGGGAAACGGACTAGCCCTCAGTACTGTCAAATTCCCCCATGCCCAACCCATACCTGACACATAAATGTTTGTTAAATAAAAGGATAGAGGGGATAATCATTTTCTAACCACTTCCAAGTCAATTTCTATATGAATTGCTAGGGAGCCCATTTTAAACATTCAAATACTTCCTCTGATAAATATGAAACCTTCTAGGGTCTTTGCAAATGGGTCTTAAAGCTTCATCCTTTTGAGAACATTCTAAGAAACATAAGGTGGGAACAACCTCCCCATCCACACTGCTTACCTGCCATGTCGATGGCAAAAGGCCTGTCTTCTCTCCACCCAGTGTACCATCCAACAACTTTGCCATTTTCCACCAATGGACGTTCATAGAGTCGCCCACCAACGAGGCCCACGGGCCAGACGGAAACCTTGCGTGTAGTTCGCATCTATAATAGGGGAAAGAGATGTGCTATGAGTTTTCTAAAGATAAAGTAGTGGTCTGTATGGAAGGAATGAGTTACCATGGTTTTAAAAGTTCAGGGTTTCTAAAGAGAATCTGCTATCTTAGGTCACTGCCATTTGGCTTTCTCGGTGCCACTGACTTTGTGCTCAGTGTACACACAGGGTGGCTCAGGACCTCAGAGAAATAAAACAGGTGTCAACACCTGAATATCACTTATTGAAGCTAATTTGTGATAGCAAATGTTTTCCATTTGTCTCAAAGCTAAATATTTTAGGAAATAACATCCGATCTTCTGAAGTGTGATGTTCAGTTCCCTTTCGGAAATTTCATGACTCAGTAAGTGTATAAAACTCACTTCTCCAAACTCTTCATTTCTTTAGGCACACAGAACCTTGGCTGGGGACATGAATAATGGGGTCCAGATCCAGGACATACATCTGAAACATACAGCCTGTGACTGTCTTTGAGGGCAACTGGGCCACACTGGAGAAGAAAGTACCTCACACAAGTGGTTTGCAGAACTGGTGGTTTCCCTGTGTATACATGCAGAAAAGTGCTCATGTATACAAGCCTCAGCCTGAAGTTACTTACTGTACTTTTTTAAGGAGAAATGCTTGCAAAGAAGCTTGTGATTTCAGGCATTTTCAGGTGAAACTACCACCTTCTTCTAGTACCCTTGGTACCACAGCATAAATTAACAAAACACCCCTTTCTCAGCCCAGAGCTGGCCATTAAAGAACAAGTCCTATTGTTGAAGTAACAGCAGACTGAGCACCAGTGTTTGTCTTTTATTTACTACAGAACTGAATTAGATCAGAATTAATCAAGGGCTAAATTAATGATTATTAGAGGGTAGAGTGGCAGCAGCTTGTGTGTGACACCACGAATGTGAAGAGAGAGGGTAACAAAGGTAAATTCTATTCCAAAGAAAGAAAGAGAATCGAAATCACAAAAGAAATGATAGGATGACAGCAAAGATGGGGAAACAGACTAAGAAGCAAAACCAACGAAGACGTACATAGCCACAGCCCGGGCTCCCTGAGAGGGAGGCAGGGCAGAGGCCTCATCCTCGGGCAGCCCTGGGGAGAAGAGACAAAGTCCTATCCACAGAACAAGCCCACAGTTCCAGTTGGGAGATTTTGTATGATGGTGACTGCACTTGCATGGCAGTGGTCAGCACCAGGCAGGAAATCCATTTTGTCACTCACCATATCTCAAAGGACTTCAGGCAGGTAACATCTTGAGAGAGGGCCTATTGCATAAGACTGAGCTACCCTGGAGACCTGAAAACAAGGAACAACCACAAGTCAAGTAATTTGGGACACCTAGCCACAGCTGCTAAGAGGGAGATGGTCATTCGAGACAGTCACAGAGAAGCTGAGGACTGGACATTGACATGTGTAGAAGCTCAGGCAGTCAGAGGCATGGGCTGTGGAAGGTATGATGGTCAATGGATCTGTCTCTGTGGGGAGAAGCATATCCTATAACCATTGCAAACACTGGTGTAGCCTTGAACTCATGGTCACTGGGCTGCCTGGTCCTCAGAACTGCTTCTGTGCCATGTAGGTTTTGTTGTTGTTGGAAGGATAAGAACTGTGAAGCGCATATCTATGATGGTACTTGATTTCTGCTGCCTTCTCTTTCACACAGGGTATTTATTCTAGGCAAGATCTGAAAGCATTGAGCTGAGTCTTTTCAGTGCTCAGCTTATGACCCCTCATATTCAATATACCATTGGCTGGGACATAGCTACTCATAGTATACAAACTAAAGAGTCTTTGGAGCAAGTGAGAGATTACCTGGTTCACAGACTGCAAAACTAAGTGAGGCCAACAGTGGCTTCTCACATGAAGAGTATGTACAAAGTGGGTATACAAAGGAGGGAACACAGTCGTGTGGGAAAGTGACTCTTGACCAGCCCAGACCCAACATGGGACTGAACAGGAGGAAAGACAGCATACTCCAACTTCAACTGACAAACACCCCCCCCCCCCCAGACTCCAATATGGGCAGAAGCAGAAAGAAGCCACTCTAATAATTTGCCATTAAAAAAAACAAGTTACCCTTTGTGTTTTTTTTTTCATTTTTA